CGTACCACATGTGGCAGTTTCCACACAACTGGATACTTTCCGTCCACTGCTTCGGTACAGGCGGCCCTGTGCATCGCAAAGGCCATGGACCAGAAAAGGTCCGCGTGTCTGGGCCCACCTCGGCCGAAGGGTCGCCTCCTGGCGGCCCCTATGGTCGCCTCTTCAATCTCTTCGTGTAGCATATGAAAAAAGCTTGTAGTCCAGAGCGGATTGGCAAGGGACAAAAGTACGTTCCCCCCCCCCCTTCAGGCTGAACCTGCCCTGAGCCCCCAAAATTTTTGGATGGCCTCTATTTCAATTATCAAGTTTGCTTGGGCAATGTACTGGTGGTTTAAGCCACGACTACCTTTCCCATATATCGGATGCGGGGAGGGTGCCCATGAGTCTTGGAGGTTGAAACACGAAAAACGCCGCCGATGAAATTTATCAACGGCGGCCCTACCACTGAAGAATGCGGTATAGGATATATTCCCACTTGGCACTACACTGTGAAAGGTAGTGGTGGTTTAAGGAGGTCCCAGTTTCCTCTCCTTTCCTTAAGCACCCTGACTCTGATTGTGTGTTGTGCCTGTGTTTCCCGACGAGTTGGTTGCCCATTGGAATTCCTGTTCAATCTTCGCTGCTTTTTCTGGTGCCTCCAACACCTTGGCCCTGATTCTATTCTATGCCATCCGCACAATGTCGTTTCGTTTCGGATTCTGTTTTCCAATTTCTTTTTCAATGTTGAGCAGGTGACACATGGCAGCTTCCCCTGGCCACCTGGTTCGGGACAGATTGGGTGGTTGTGTGAGGACAAGATTTTTCAAGGAGTTTAAAGCTTTAAGAAAATCCGAAAAAATAAACAGAACTTTTGGCTGAAAGGCGTGTCCGATTCCTCACGATTGAGCAAGAGTAGTAGAGGGAAATTATTTTGGCTCTGTTTGTTACAGATTTGACCTTCGTGAGTACCCGGTTTCTCCTCTTGCTGAATATCGTGGTTTCCTGGTCGGGCAGAGCCATGGATATAAAAGCGGATGGTAGATTGTGCCCTTGTGGTTTGGCTCAGCATGATGCAATGAGGCATCACTTCTCTTCCGTAGAAAAAACATCATACATGCCCCTAGATGTAACACCTCTTTTCTCTGGCTCAAGTTGTGGCCTAAGCTCTCACTTACCAAATGTTACAGTCTGGGACTTCACATGGGCCTTCACAAGCCCAACATACCGGTTTAGGGGTACCCAGGCCGGCTTCGCCAAAGGCCAGGCCTTTTCCTCCCGGTAGGCCCTGTTAGGCCACCGGTTGGGCCTCAGCGCCAGCAGACCCAGGTCGGCCCAAACGACATGACCGTTTGGGCCTGGCGGCGCTCTTGAGGCTGCCGCCCGCCGGTCTGGGCTGAACGGACATTTCGACGGTTCA